ATATATATATATATATATATATATATATATATATATATATATATATTATATATATATATATATATATATATATATATATATATATATATATATATATAAATATATACATATAAATTTTCGTTTCGGTGGGTTGGAGTCAATAAAAGGGGCTGTTCTAGAAGACTATTTTTTATATCTCAAGCTTTCAAATGTTATTACATATTATATATATATATATATATATATATATATATATATATATATATATAATATATATATATATATGTATTTATACTACTTCACCTAGATTGCGGCCCGCGCAAGGTGTGGCAATAGCTACTATGCGGCCCGCAAGGTGTGGCAATAGCTACTATGCGGCCCAGGGAAAACAAAAAGGTTGAGTATCGCCGGACTAAACGATGCGTGGAACCGAATAAAAAATTAATTGAAGAATAATACTATTTCGATTAAAGACCTAAAAAGAAGTGTTAAATTTTTTGAAATAAAGTTAAATCAAACACTACTGTCACGGACCTACACAGACTGTCACAGACCGTAAGAAGAGCTCGGTCTGCGGTGCGTTGCCATCCAAGCTCATCGACTGTGTGTGATGATCAGTAGAATCGCCGATCGTGGGAAGCCGCTATAAGACGCCTTGTGTCATCTAGTAATTTTTAAGTGACTATTGTGTTAGATTTTCTCTAGATGTAGTGATTATTGACGTTTTCATTTGTTTTTGTCTTCTAGAATATCTAGACATCTAGAAAATTTTAGGTTTTTAATAGTTCTTCTTTTTCGTCATGAGACTTTTTCTATATGGAACTGATCTTACGGAATATTTGTAACACTGTCGAACAGTCTCTAGGTCGTGAATAAGAGTCACTCAGTTGTTCTGATTTCTTGTTCATAAAATTAACAATTTGTTCCATGACTAAGCCAGGAAAAAATAATTTCCAGAAACCTAAAACGATTGCAGTTGTTTTGGTAACGGCTTCTACACCAGGCAGTTAATTAATATTATTATGGGGACGTGTTTTTCGTTTAGGCAAGTTAGTTTTGAGCTTCAGCCACTCTATAGAATCTTTCCCTATGAAAAGAGGTTCCATTCTTGTTCGCTGTTAAGTCAGAGGTTGGGTAAAAATCACGTCAATGTCACTTTCGTCAGATTTTTCTGTATAAGTATTATGTAAGCTATGGTCGGAAGGAATATCACTAAGATCCTGATCAGAATCAGCAGGTTGTTCAATGTCGCTCTTTAGTTCTTCATACCATTACATCAGGTTTTCTTCCATTTTCTGATCCATTTTTAAATGATTTACAATTCTAGAAATTAAATATGTACTGAGTACAATAACAAGCAAAAATATGTGGCTAAACTTATGTGAACACAAAGCAAAACAAATTTTTAAACGTAATTGGTCGCGTCCTTAAAATTTGTCTAACAAATCTGTGCACGTTTTCGGTCGCGTGTTAGATTTGTACCAACAACTAGCCCTCACGTCTCGCTCGGTTTACCAAGGCATTGGCATATACTCCGGGCATTTATAGTGTTAGAAGAATTTAATACCAACATATCAACTTTAATGAAAAAAAAACTATAAATGTTAGATGTTTCTAACAGTGTGACCGATCGTGGGTTAACAGAAGTTTTCGGAAAAAATCATTGTATGATAATTAGTCCTAAATACCTTTGCATCTATTTACCATTGGACGTTTCACACTAATGGAACGCAAATTGAACAAGTTTATACCTATAAGTATCTGGACCATGAGATTGAATTAGAAAGAGACAATAACAGTGTTAAACAAGAGAATAGGACTAACATGGGTAGTTTACGTAAATCTGAAGAAAGTTTTCAGATCAGATAGTCTATATACTCAAAGTTCTAACGTGTGGAGCAGAAACAAAGACTCTTACCAGAAAAGTAATCAATAATATAATTGCCACAGAAAGCAATGGAAAGGTCAATATTGAATAAATCTCTCAAAGACCAGAGTTTCAAATTAAATATACTAAAACAATTTCTAATTGAATTTGATTACTTGGCAACGAAGCCCTTAACGATAACTTTTCAACGAAATCGTATTCAAATTATCAATTTTGCAGAGGCCTACCAAAAAAAATTTAATTATTTATTTATACACATAAGTAATTACGTAAAAATTAAATCTAAGACCGATTTAATTATTAAATTATCATGTCTCTTTTAACAGGTATTGTTAGTTGTCTAACAAAATAAAGTAAATTTTTATTCTTATTAGAGAGTATCTAATACAGAACTTCAAAAACAGAAAACTTTGGAAATTACTTTTTTTTTCTATAGACAAAAACAATCTTCAATTTTAATTAAAAAGTAGGTAGCGGGTAGAAACTCCTTGTTGGATAGTCCTATCAGGGAAAGTGAATCAATCCCTGCCTTCCGCAGATTCCAGGTGTTTCCTGACCCGGGAAACTAGTACCTGCTAAGGGTCCCTTGTCCAGGGTCACGGATGGAGTCCACAACGGCATCCAGGGCGGAGAAGAAGGTCTTCACAACAGTCTGAAGGACGGAAGCGGCAGTCCCCTGGTTTTAGGGCTTGTTTAAAATCAAAGGGTAGGTGAGACTCTCTAGCTGTAGTGGAAGCAACTCGCATAGAAGAAGGATACTCTGATGTAAAATCCCTGGCCCTCCAAGTTGGGGGTTGAGGCACCGGGCCAACTCCTCGGTACTCATAAAACACGTACAATGTTAAGAAGCCTAACCAAAGCCTCGGAACAAAAGATTGGAAACACAATAGACGAAAACAGTAAAGAAAACGGTTAATGAATTTTTGTACATGGAATGTGCAAGGTTTCTCCCGAAAAACAACCGAAATCATGTCAGAACTCAAAAATGCAGAAATAGATATCGCGGTACTTACAGAAACTAGAAAGAAAGGTATGGGTTCTGAAAAGTGGGGTCACTATGACCTGTTCTATAAACTATAAACACTATCAAAACTTTAAGAAGACATATTACCTCTTGGGAAGCAATTAATCAGAGATTGATAAAAATGAACATCACGATAAAAGGAAGCAGAATAGCCATACTAGGTGTATATGGAATTAACGAGGACGCATTGGTCAACAGTAAAGATGCATTTTTCGAACAACTGAACGATGAAATTATAAAAGTAGGAACATCTAGGGAGATCATACTTCTAGGAGACTTCAACAGCAGAGTTGGATGGGAATTAAAAAGAATTAAAAAAAATACCAGAAATGATAATGGAACCAGATTAATAACAACATACACACAAAATAACTTAAAGATATTAAATGGATTTTATCCACATCGCGATATACACAAATACACGTGGATGCAACACATTTTGTCACAGCTACAGAAAAATCGCAGGTTGGCCCACCACTAAGGGGAGTGATCAGGTTGATGGTTGACAGTATCTTGTCCTTTGTCAGTAATTAACTTTTGTGATTGGTTAAAATTTTCATTGAAAACCCGGCAACACTGTTCATAGTTTCTCTCATTCCTTTCTACTCCCCGTATTCAAGAATACAGCTTTTTAAAATCGAGAGAAATTATGATGGAGTAGAAAAGCGAGTTAGCTTAGTAGGGAGTAAAATTTTCTCTCGATTCAAGAATAAGACCCCTGGTGGGATGAAGAAATAGAGAAGGAAATGAAAGATAAACGTCGGAAATACCAAACATTTTTAACAACAAAAACAGAAAACGATAAAACAATTTACAAAGAAGCACAAGCCAAAGTAAGAAAAAAGATAACTCAAAAAAAGATCGAATCATGGGAACAGAACTGCCAAAAGATCAACACCTACATAGGAGGTAGAAGAAGCACAGAGAGTTGGAGATTGATTAAAAGTATGAGAAATAATAAAAAAAAGACGTTATATCACCAATACCAACAGAAAAATGGGAAAAAGAATATTTCAAAAAATTACTAACAGAACAAAGACCAGAATTTGCTAACATGGAAGACAACACGATAGGTATACGTATAAATTCATCACCATTACAAATCAGTAAATCAGAGATGGAAGAAATAACCAAATCCCTGAAAAATGGAAAATCCCCTGGTCCCGGTGACATCCCTGCAGAATTAGTAAAAGCCGGTACAGACAAACTCCAGGAACAGTTAAGAAAACTCTTTCAAGACTGCTTGAATGGGGCCGAATTACCAAAAGAATGGAAATTATCTATCATGTCAACTATCCACAAAAAGAGCAGCAAGGATCAGTGTGAAAATTACAGAGGAATTGCGTTAAACAGCACAATAAATAGGATGTATGCGAAACTTATTAAGAACAAAATAGAAAATGACTAGATCCAGAAAAGATTTAGAAAACTATCGACGTTGCAAATTCGTTAAGCCATTTTGGGTGCAATTTCTCATCTAAAATTTAAGTAACTAGATTTCCGATTGTAGAGACACAAGCTACCGTAACTAAAAAAGACTTGAAGCAGTTTTTAATGTGGGTATGTGAAATATTGCATTCACAAAATATAGAATCAGTATCGTCAATAATGTGAATTCTATAATGTTTACTTTTCTAATAAATTATATTTTGTCTACCTATGGCAACACTGAATATAATGTATTGGACATTTAGGAAACCTGTGATAGCTGTGTTTTCTAGGGGTTGGTATGAAATGTTTCGTCTTTGATTGGACAATATAGAACAATTGCTGTTTCAATAATCTTTAATATATATAATAACACTTTAGGTTTGTACAGCTTGCGCTCCTCTATTATAGAAGATATAATACTATATAATTAATTTAAAGTATTTTAACTACCATAAGGAATACTAATTTTAAAATTAGAAGACTCATTATTACACGTAAGCCGGCTCTGGTTTGTTTTGATTGTGTATTTTGCTGTCACGGATATACAGTTACACATCAGATAAATATAATAAGAATCCACAAAGTGCGGTTTCAGGGCCACCTTGATTTTATTTAATAAATTCTGCCGTCCCTCCTCTCCGTTAACAGGTAGATAAATAAAAAGGGTATTATACTAACCTACGTACAGTAAACATTTCCTTTGGTCGTTCTCCCTTTCTTTTACATAATCAACATAAAATTCGTGAACAAAACAGAAACAAAACAATCACAAATCCTTACAGCTTATCTAAACTAAGTAATACCTACAACGCACGCTGGTCGCTGGTTGTAAGTATTTAGATTTAGCATTTAGCCATGTTCATTCAATAACTTTATTTCAAAGTTCTGCAGTCAACTAAAATTCATTGGAACAAAAAGAATACACCTGGACAGGCATTACTTGCGTAGAAGGTCGTTAAACCGGAAATACACAAAGTCTTTAATCGTATTAAAACACCGTCCACCAAGAATTTTATCAGGGAGAACCTACTTAATAAAGATGGGACTTAATATTGCACCAGTTACTTTGTAAGGTAGCAGTATTTAATGGTTATGTACCTATATAAAAAAATTTATAAACGATACGTAATGTGTACGACGGTGTAATATTTTTTACCAATACAGGATGTCTTAAACTTAACATCCATATTTTCCGAATATAAAGCGACAGACTAAACAAATTAAATCATATACGCCAGTGAATGACTGTTTTTGAGTGGAATTTTTCTCGTCACGACGGATTAGTTGAAAATTTGAATTTAGATTATCTAGATTTAGAAAATATTTTTAGCAAAAATGTAACTCATAAAAAAAAACAAAAAAGTGTACTTATGGAGTCTGTAGACACAGTAGAAGCAGAGTTGTAGCTCATGAAAAGTAGGTTCATATGGTTCATATTTTTCAAAGTCCAAATCGAATATTTCAACGTGAAAGAACCAAAAAATGTTATTTTTTCAGGAAAACTAATCAAAAACTTATTTAAAGTGTAAAAAGCTCCATTTTTGTTTTTTTTTAGGTCCTAGCAGCAAAACTAATCCAGTTACGCTCATCAGAGTGTGGTCACTTTTTTTTTGGTAAAAACATCGTGAAAATCACTCCCTAATTAGCATCCCAAATAAAATTATCCGTTACTGCTATACAAGTAACTTTATTATTGTATTTTTACATGATCTGTACGTTTAACCGGTTCAAAGTGCTTATTTTAAAAAATTGGTAATAAAAAATGTTTACTTTCGTAAAGAATTAGGTATTGACTTTTTCAACATTTTGGTTTTTTTGTAAGACAAAAATTGAATATGGCTGTTTAAGGTTTACATATACTCGTGATTGGGGATTCGTTCAAGCCCTTTCAACTACAATCACTTCAAGAATAAGGGCTTAAAAAATTATTTGAAATGATCTTATTGGCCTTAAGAAATCTACAAAATGGTTTTTTTTAAATAATTCATAACTTAAAGGCGAGTTCTGACTAAAGAACCAATAAATTATTTTGGGAGATAGGAGAACGGGTATACTGGAGCATTGTAAGATACACATAATGTGCTTTTAACGCACAACCATACTTTCACCCATCCTTACAATCTAATAAAGGTTATTTTAAAACTTGAAATGTAACTGTATAATTAGATAATTCTAAATTGCTTGTATTTACAATTATAAGATTTTTTTCTACCAGAGATCGTTTTACCCCTAAAAAATAAATAGCAACCAACGGCACACGACCACTGTAAAAGTGGAGGGTAAGGTATTAATGACATTGTTTTAATTATAACTAATCTAGAGTGCGACTAGGGGTCAAAATGTAATAAAATCTTAAATGTTGTGACAATTAGTGAAAAATCTTAAGTGACATTTATTTACTTTATTAAGATTATTTGAATCAATTACCCGCTAAATTTTTAATTATACGATTTTTGCAGCGACGCTTCCATACTGGCCTTGTATTACTTTTTTTTCTCTACAGTAAAATGCTGCTGGAGTCGATCGGATAGCCAAGCGAGCTGGGCGGCTGCTCCTCCTTCGCTTCAATGCCAGAGATGTCAGTTTAATCCCCAGCTCGGTGTACAGAAAACAAAAAGGCTAACGCAGCAGTTTAAAATTCTAAATGAATCTTCGGCTTAGTCTAGAATATGCTGGTATCGGATCGGCCTATGGTGGAGCAGTACGGCAACAGATAAGGGCTTGTTGTTCGGTGATACTCCTCCATAGATCCCTACCGGAAGGGCGTGTGCCGCCTAAATACCGGGTATATATATATATATATATATATATATATATATATATATATATATATATATATATATGCTGAGGAGAGCGTTATGGAACTAGCGCCACACGATGGCGTCATCACGGGTAGCGTCACAGAATAACGGTTCTTGACATCCATTAAATAAGTCATAAATAATAATATAATAATAATAAGTCATAAATGTCATCCAATTAATGACAACATTGAATCACCTGTTTAAATTTTTATAACACTTCTCGTTTTAACATAATTTCATATAAATACAATGATTATTTTTAAATATATCATTTAGTTTATACAATAATTAAATCTACTATCAAATAGTATTTACTTATATTTTATAATTAATATATGGTTTGAAAGTATGCTTCGTTACTTCGTTAACAGGTGGAGTTAGGAGCAAATATAATAATTTATTGAATTTGTTTAAACACACACATCAAAATAATCTAGGGGACACCTATATTAAGAGCTTTACATCAATGTGAGCTACTAATATAAAAATAAATTTATGTTTTTAATCTTTTTGTTGTTTTGTCGATTATTGTACCAACTTAGATGGTAATGCTGATAAGAATGGCTATAAAAAACTGAATAAAACTTCAATATGCGTTTGTTGTCTATAAGGTATAAAGTAATATTTATTTATTGGTACTTGATTTTCGTCTATGTGGATTTTTATTGAGTTTTGCAATTGCCAGAAATGAAGAGACTTCATTTAAATTACGGAACACAGGGGCGTGCTATAGTGATGCTTCAAGCTGGCAGAAGTCAAAGAAACATTGCTGAAGTCTTTCACAAAAACAGTACTGTTATTAGTCGTTTGTGGTTAAGGCATCAAGAAACTGTTGATGTTGCGGTACGTCATAGAGGCAGTACAAGGATTACCAACCAGATTGAAAACCGTTTTATTAGGTTGCAGGTTTTGTGGGATCGCACTGTAATTGTATCAAAATGAGGTTGCAAGTGACCCATCAGGTGTTTATAAGTGACCAAATCATTAGAAATAGACTGCATGAGATAAGGTTAAATATTCAAAGACCTGTAAGAGTGCCTGTGTTATTCAGAGGAAATCGCGTCCATCGACTTCAGTGGGCACAAGAACACGCAAATTGGGTTAGACCTGAGTGGGCTTTTACTTTGTGCACATATGAGTCCCGATTTGGATTTGCGCCAGTTACAAGACGGGCAAGAATTTGGAGATGATCCGGCAATGCTGAACGATTAGCCACCGTGCAGGAGGTATATAGACAGCAACGCAGCAGCATAATGGTATGGGGTGGCATCAATCCTGGTGAAGAACCAATCTTGTTTGTCTGGAACGGTTTCTAAATGCAAGAGACTATCCTGATGTTATCCTCGAACCTATTGTTGTACCCTTTGCACAAGAGCTAGTCCCCAATTTCAATTAATGCCTGACAATGCCTGCAAGATTTTTTTCTTATCGCCCAAAGCTTCTGATGTACTTCTCAGCTTCGAAGGACCAGCTGGAGAATCCAGCACCTGACATGTTGTTCCCTTGATAAGGGATAGGTGTAAATATTAAATAGGTAAAGCCTTAAAATGTATTTTTATTACAAGAAAAAATAGCCTACATCACTGTAGAAAATAGCATTTAATAAATGTAGGAAATAAGTTTATTGTTTATGGATAACAGTAAATGTTTAACTTGTACAACATGGATAACATGTAAATTAAAATCATTGTTGGATCGGAAATGGTTTATACGCACTCGCGGCACGTTATGGCAACACCGCGACTTGAAGCAATAAAGTTGAAAGTAAATATAAGTTTGCTACTTACAATTAGGTACAGCATCTAACTCTTTTTACCCCATGGACTCACGGCGAACAATACTGGCCACAAAAACTAGATAATAGGAAGATACTGTTTTAAGAAAATTAATTTGACTGGTCTCAAGCTCTTGCTTGTAGGACCTTTTCGTACGACAGTTGCTTGGCGACTATATGGTTGTAAGGAACTTGTTGGTCTTGTTAATAGTTCAGGGCCGAGAATGGACTGGTCCAAGTTTAGATATAAAGTTAATGAAAATGTAAGTAGATACTGGGGGGGGGGAGGAAATAGGAAAAGAAGAGGAGCCAGTTTGGTGACAGGACGAGTATACAAGCCATCCTGAGTTTTTACGCAAGCAGCCCGGACTTTTCCATCCTTGCCAGTAATTAATTCAACGATTCTGGCAAAAGGCCAGTTCATAGGAGGACGGTCTTCAGCTCTCACTAATACAAGCTAATTAAGTTGAAGGTTATTATATGATTGACAACACTTAGTTCTATGCTGAAGTCGATGCAAATAGCAGAAGGTTAACCTATTCTCTGGGATAGATGAGATATCACCTATCATCAAAAAATGACCTGGAGTCAACAAAGTCAAATCGTTAGGGTCATTAGACAATGGGTATAATGGTCTGCTGTTCAACACAGCTTCAATTTGATTCAGAGCCGTGGAGCGCTCCTCAAACGTAAGAGCAGTAGAACCAATTGATTTAATGAGATGAGATTTGGCACTTTTTACAGCCGCTTCCCAGTGCGGTTAACGGGGTGGAATAAACTACCAAGAAATTTCCGTAGCAGATATTGAATTTTGTCCATTTTCTCAGAGGATTTAAGAAAAGAGGAAAGTTCTCGTAGCTGATTACGAGCACCTATAAAATTGGACCTATTATCTGAATATATCGTATAGGGGTTACCTCTACGACTAATAAACCATTTCAGGGTGGCAATAAAAGCTTCTGTAGAAAGATCGCTAAATAATTCAATATGAATCGCTTTTGTTACCGAATATACATATAAATATAGCAATATAAGCCTTTTGGATGGGGGCTTTCTTTAACCGGGAACCTTAATTAGTATGGGTCCCGCAAAGTCTATGACGACCTTGGCAAATGGATGAGATTCTTGTGCTCGGTCCAGCGGTAATGGGGCCATCATTTGGGATGCGAATTGTGCATTGAACCTGAAACAGGTTACACAAGATTTGATTAATTTT